GCTTGATGAAGCCATAGGTGCGTAACCTGTGTCTCATCAACATGGATTTCACTTCCTCATGTACTCTGTCCTTCCATGTTGCTGATCCGTGGGAAATCATCTTGCTCCATGGACTTATATAATTTGTGTGAATGAATAGAGAGGAATGTGCAATCTGCAGATAATCAGAAAAAAGAGCTATAATTGAAATTACTAAGTTCGCTGTGTGTTTTAAAGCAATACCAACATTTAGGGTATATAAAAGAGTATCAAAACTCAAATGAGACGCAACATGAAGGGAGATGAAACTAGGTGATCTTAAGGTCCTTTCCAAACCAAACCATTCTATGATTCTATGAAGCCATTATGAATGCATTGTGCTGTGTGGCTTTGTAGGGAGAGTTCATGCTGCCTTGTTTTACTGTATTTACTTCTTCCCATTGCAAAACTCATGGAGGTGCACCAAATACAAGTGTTGGTGTAGCTCCACCATAATGGCTGTACCTGAATGGAATATGACCTAAAAATGCTTAATCATATTTTAAAAAATTACTGGTATCTTCTTGTGTAAAATTCTTAGTACAAATCTCTGCCCATCTTCATTTGACTGTGCACAGCTCTGACCCATTCATGCAGTTTGCTCTCTGAGTTACTCTCCTCAGTAACAAACAATTTGGGCAATTATTTAGTGGGGTTCCTTTTTGTAATTTCATGCCTGACTGACATGCCCTGCAGTCATCTTTATATTCCTTTGATGATGGAGGCTGTACAGAGAGCAGCCCTGTGGCAAAATCCTAGTTCCCATTGAGTATTACCATTTGCTTCTATGGGTCCAAAGTTTCACCCTAAGTGTGTTGAACCTATAAACTACTACAAGGGGCTAAGAACTGTGATAAGTTTAATTGCCTTGGGTGTTAAGCTCAGTTGTGGTTTGTTTTAAGCATGCAGGGGAAGCGCTTCTCAAAGAGTGATTTGAAGAGATGGAACTAAAATGAGTGCACCCTTGGGAATGACTGAGGACAGCCTTCTTGCAGAGCTCACATCCAGTTCCAGATTTAAAAGGTTGTTATCTAATGAGCACAAGCAATTACTTAGCTAATGAGCACAACAAAATGAGCATGAAAAATGTGTTTCATCTGCAATGCCCACTAGAAAGACATGCTTTTGAGCTTGAGGCTGCCCTTGCTTTAAGACCTGGGTCACCACAGTGAGATTAATCCAGGGCATAAATCACAGGGGTTAGATTAGTGTTTGTTTTACTTGAATTCACATTTCTTGTTCGCTTATCTCTGCTAAATCTTGCAGCTTCTTAGCTCAGTCATGAACCAGAGAATGGAATGGTTTTGAACAGTCACAACTTCCCTCTGGGCACTGGCAGTCAGCCCTCAGGCTTGATCTACTACTGGAACACAATTATAAAACAGCACAATGTAATTAATGTGTCTTCCCTCTCTGTTCATGCCAGACAGGAATTCTTTCTCCACCTTCTCCAGTTGGAGTGATTTTTATAATATAATCTAATCCAATGCAACTATATTTTGCATTAGTCAGTGGTCTACCAGGTGGCAATGACATAAATAGCTCATTATATATCCCAGTGATGGATGATTCCGTGTGCATACTACTGTTCCTGTGCAAGTTCAGATTGCTTGTGGGCCTCTTTTTGTTTGGTTTTGTGGTTGTGTTTTCCACCTTTACAGCTGACAGCGACAGCCAGAAAACAAGGCAAATGTAGAATGAATTGCCTAAATTTTTCCAGCCACTAAGCAAAAGCTGCGTGATCTCAGGACATTCCCTCGCTACGAAGTAAACTCACAGCCTTCCTTGTGTCAGTCCAGCTGATCACCTGCAAATACTTCAGAAATGACATGTGGCAACTGCCAGAGCTCTGATACTGTCTAGAAGTATGATTTTTGAGAGTAAGACCAGAAAGCCAAGATCTTGATTCGTAAGGGCCCCTGTTACACCAGATGCACTGGACCTGCAGGAGAAGTGTATCTGTAGTGGATCATTTTGTCATGCATGTTCTGTAGAGCTGATGTGTTGCACAGTGTTTAAGAAGATGCTGGTATACAGCACATACTGATGAAAGCAGTGCGGAAGAAGAGTTCTGGGTATGTAAGGATAGGTGAAAATTGTATGTGCAAGTTTTTAAGTTAATGTTAAAGCTGGTGTAACATCTTTGTTCTTTATTTTTAAATAAGAAAATTGCACAATCAAGCATTGTTAATTTTGTTTGCATTTTTTTCCTGGTGTATTTCACCAATGAGTATTGAACATTTTATTTATCTATTTATTTATTTATTCAATTCTTTGTGGATCTATTTCATTATGTCTAAAACTTTACTCAACAGTCTGCAGGATAGCTGAAATCTTAATGATTTCCCCCTTCAGGGCACATTAGAATTATGTGAATAAAAAGGAAATATTGATTTCTTTCTGCCATGATGTAACTTCTCAGAGGCATGGCTGTCATTAAATGAAGTTGAAACTGTAGCTAAACACTATTAGCTAAAACCAATTAGTAAAAGGCATATTCAGTCTCAAAAACATTTCCCTTTTTCTACAGTCTCACAATGCCACAGAGGACTTTTGCTCCTTAATTTAAGTACAAACTTCTCCCTAGGGCTCTGTGTTACTTTGCGTAATGCAGGAAGTAAACTGAGGAGGCTTTACTTATGTGAATACATGAAGTAAGCAAGAGCTGCCAAAAATTAGAGGAGGGCAAGATGAAGTGGCAATATGCGGAGGCTGTCCATGATTATCATTCTCTGAGATTGGAAAGTAATTGCCTTCGCTCCTGATGCTGAGCCTGAGGATAGATGAACAAGTGCTGCTCAGGCCTCGAAGCTGAGGTTTTCAAAGAGGTTTCTTGTTGGCCTAATCAGTCTCTGCTGAAACCCAGGGTGGTTTTCCCACTGGTTTTAATAGCACCCATCACACAGTGCTGAAGGCTCTTGAAAATCTCTATCTGCTATGAACAGATTTCTTGACCAGAAACCTGAGTCTGCTGCCTTTGAGGGCAGAAAGCTTCCTTTGTGGGAAAGAAAACATTCGTGGGGCTGCTTCTTTCCTTTTGCTCCATATTCTTAGCACTGTTTTGGTGTAAACACAACCATGGCTGTCCAGTACCTGTAAATCCTTTCAGGTCTGCAGTGATTTGGAGAGGGTTTCTCTCCATATGTGAAGCACTCAAGACTTGTTCCAGTTGTTCTTTGCCTTTTGAGATCAAAAGAGGTGTCTGCGTAGAGGCCTCGGTTACATTCCTTTTCAACTCATTGGATTTTGCATTAAATTAAATTTCGCATGCTGAGTGAGCAGTGAACCCTTATGAGCCTAGAGGAAAGAATATGTTGTTTCTATGCATTTTAACGTGACGGTCAAGTTGGGGCTAACACTCCCAGGCACCTCCTTCAGTGGTCACCTTTCAGCCTTTCCATCCTGAGCCCTGTATTTTGAAATGAGATGCCTGCATTTTATTACCTTTGTAAGTGGAAAACGACAGCATATGTTTTTTACTTGCTAGAAAAGGACTGAATTGTCTTAGTTTGAACTTTAAAATAAAGGTCAGACTTGAGGCAGGCACAAAAGGTGAAAGCTTTAAGAAGTTATGAGCAACCACAAATGAGGCAGTTTCAAATTGCATTTGAAACTGGAACAGCTGTTGTTCCTGTTGTCTGGGGGGTTACATTCAGAGTTTATAATGCTAAAGATTACATATGTTATGTTCAGGGAGAACTCAAAAAGAGAAAATAGTCATTGAGGCAGAGAGAAAATTGGTTTGGGTGGTGTGTGGTAGAGAAGGAACAGCCTTTATGTTAATGGCACAGGGATAAGATTGTGGGAAAGCCCAAATATCGAGGTGAGTGTAAGAAAAGAGAACAGGGAGAAGACAAAAGAGACCGGGGGAGTCTAGGGGAATTTCTGAGAAAGGATTTTCCAGTGCCTCCTTGGATGTGAAAATTAATTGTTTTGGGACTGGAATTCGCAGCTCTGTATTGCAGGGATTTAACGAGGCTAGTGGATTACCTCGCTCTGCGGTCTCAAAGTGCTCTGACAGGTTCATGTATGTCAGGCAAACATTATTGTAATTTTAGTGCTTTAGGGGCTCTACAGGAGTACATAAATACCACCTAAGCCATCCAACTGAATTTAAAACTTAGTTACTGCCCCATTTAATAATATTTTCTCCCCCCACTACTGCTTTAGAGGATCATAGGGTTAAAAGGAATCATTAATCTTCCTTAATGAAGCTATTTTCTAGCAGGAGACAGAATGTCTTGCCCCTGTGGATTGTTTTTATGAATATTGTGAATGGAGAGGTGGGAAGCACTAGAGGAAAAGCAGTGCAGAAATGGTGATAAGACCTAAAATGTCAGTGGTGGGAGGACCCTCCAACTCAGAGGCCCTTTCTGAGTTTAGCTAAAAGGAACATGATAGTCATGCGGGAAGAGGAGTGAGCCCTATTAAAAACTGACTAAACTGGCTGTGTAACAGTGTTCTCACCAGAACTACTAATTATTGGAATACCAGCAATTGCCAAAGCTTTTATATAACTGAGGCAAGACCTCTCCTGAAAGCTGTGCTTAAAAATGTGCATCTCCAGAGAAATCTAAAGCAGAATTGTGGTGGTGGAATTCGGGTCTCTGCTTTTAACTGTCAGTGCTGATCCACGTCCTTAAAGCTGCTTTTCCTGGGACAGTACTGGCTTATACTACAATTAAATTGCATGCAAATGTTTCAAGATGCCTGAGACTGTCCCGGTGCAAATCCCTCCTTTTGTATGCATGAAAGGGAAAGAAATCCTGCTACTTTAAACAGTTCAAACTTCAGTCCTTTGCTAGTCCACAGCTCCTGTGGTACCCAGTGCACTGAGCAACATTGCCTGCCTTGTGCTGGAGCCAGTGGGGAGGCAAGGATGGCCTTGCTGTTCTTCTGCTTGTCTCCGTCTGATGATCCCTTTGGTGGTGATACTGAAATGCTGTTGTTTCTCTGTTTCTTGCGTGCATCCCTGGCTGCAGAAGATGCTGGATGAGTGCCAGGACCGGCGGAGCTGCCAGTTTCTCGTCAATAGCCGGCTGTTCGGTGCAGACCCATGCCCTGGAACTGGCAAGTACCTCATCGTGTGGTACAAGTGCAGGCCAAGTAAGTATCTTGCTGTCAAATCTGTTTGCTCTGGTGAGACCAAAACATTTTTTTACTTTTGCCAGAAAGGCCTCCTAGGACTTTTTGTTCCCTTCCTACTTTATTTTCAGTGTAACATAACCCCCTGGGTGTGGAGTGTTTCCCCTCTCCCCCTTGCTTGCTGCCTTGCTGGGATGCTGCTGCTCCAGCTCCTTCCTCCTTGCCAGCAGCCCGAGTTGCAGATTGTTTTTGCAGGTGCCAGCAAAAGCCTTTGCCAGTGCTGAGCTCAGGCTGTTGGCGGTGGGTGGGCTGCTCCCACTCCCATCTGCAGCCGCTTTCCTGTCCTCGTGGGCCAGTGGGGTTGTCCCCTTTCCATCTGCCCCTCCAGAGGAACCGGGACCTCTTTGCATGGGCAAAGACTTCAGACCTGGATGCCTAAGGCAGGCACTGAAGATGGGGGTGCAATGGGAAGCTCACCTGCCCATGCCATGCCATAAGTAGCTTTTAATTGCTCCCAGATCAGGCTGGGAAATGCTAACGTGTGTTTTGCGTGATCTCATTAGCTGTGTTTAAATTAAATGGGGCTGGCGCCTGGATACTGGAAATATAATCATGCAGAGGAGTGAGCCTGGTGTGGCTTTGGCCCTGGACACCCAACGCCCTCTTGGCCAATTCCTGGCCCCACTTGGGAGTTAGCACAGCCTGGGCACTGTTCTCCATCAGTGCTTTGGAAGCAGACACATTCGTTAGGGTTTGATCATGGTGAAGCTGTGCCAACTGATTTCGACTGGAGAGCAGGACCCAACTCTGAATTAAATAGTCTGAACACAGCATTTCAGATTGGCCTAATCCCAAGCCTTTTAGACAACATAAGTAACATGCTTCCAGCACCACATCAGCAGACTTTTTGGGGAAGAAATAGAAAAAAGTTTGCACAGGGAAGAAAAACATATCTGATTTCAGGAAAGGTTTGAAACAAAAGCAGAAATATTCAGACTGTCAACAGCACAGAAGAAGACTTTTTGCCCCAGCACGCAGAGGCCTGTGCTAATGAAGTGAAGGGATCTGGCAAGATCTGTGAGGAATTCAAATGAAAAGTAGGTAATGAAGCACCTGCATTTGTTGTGGGGTTTTCGTGAGTGATTGTAACATCCCCTGTTGGGTGAGAAATGCATCTCTCAGAGAGGGGTGATTAGCGGGTGTTCTGACAAGTCCTCCTGAACCTGCAGGTTTTGTATCAAAGCTTGCTAGAAAAATCTGGATATTGAGGCCTGTTCTGAACTTCTGAAGGTACACAGATCCCATCTGTGCATAAATATTTATGGCTTGGCATTCTTTGCTGATTACAGATATGCTAGGAAAAGAGTTTGTGTGTGTGCTGGGTAGGTGATTTTCTTGCAAGAGAACAGGGGAAACTGCTTGAAAACATTTCCCCAAGACAATTTTTCAGGCAGCTCCAATTTTGCAGGGTGAAACAGGGTAACCTGACACAAATTACTGTTTCTTACTCTCAGGGCAAATTTTTAATCAGAAATTAATCACTGGATTAATAACAAGCTTTGAAATATGCAAGGAGTAGCTTTACAGAGAGTTGCCAGGACATGGTCAAACTTTCCTTGGTTCAAAATGTGAATTTTAAGTCTCACAGACGGAATCTAGTACTTGTGTGAGTTCAATAAGCCTTTCTATCTTTGTTTTAGTGAGGGCAATGAAGAAAGATGGATCCATAGAATGCAAAATACAGGACTGCGAGAAATTTTGGTGGGCTTTTGTGGTTATTGAATATTTGGGTATTGTTTATGACCTGTAAATGACTATATGTTTAAGAGCTGATCCCAAAAACTGTGGTCCTATGAAGTGATGACCTGCTCCAGGAAGTCTGAGCATGCATAATTGTAACTGAAGAGCAACAGAGAGGCCTTTCAAGAGCTCAGTGCCTGACACGTGGTTCAATCCATATCTTCATGAAAAGACAAATGCAGTTTTTCAGGTTCTGTTCTGGAGTTTGTCCTTCTTAACAGTAGGCATGATAGAAGTACTTTAATAAGACACTATTTAAGGTCTGAATTGTCCTCTAGAGACATCTATTTTCTTTGCTTACTGAGGGAGCCTGAGATGCCCATGCTACTGAAGTAGATGCCTTGGTTAGGTGCCCACCTTGGTAGAATGAATGTGAGTTTTCCTGTGCACAGGTATGAGAGGTGCTTTGGGAATTGGCCTGCAGGGTTTGGACAGGACATCTTTAACATAAAATAAAGATGCCCAAGCCCTCCCGCTCTGAGTTGTGCTGGAGCCTCAAAAGGCCCATGAATAGAGGTAGACATGTAAAAAGAAAGACTTACTTGAAAGAAAGCAAAACTAAAGTTAGTGGCATTTACTTGTACCTTTACTGAAGAATAACTAGATGGTGCAGTCATCCCCTCCAGCCACTGTCACTGCAGCTATGCCTCTCTAACATTATGTTGCGTTTGAAATCTAGTGGTTTCGATGCTTGCTGGCTGTAAGGGGTTCACTCAAAAGGCAAGGTGCTATTTTGGTTTCTCATGGGCAGAATTTCAAGGAGATGGAGGACAGCAAATCATGCTGAAACTGAAAGCTCTAGATTTTTCAAATGGTGGGGCTCCAGGGAGCAGGGAAATTGGAGGGATCTCTACTGCACTAATTGTACTGAGAGTGCTTTTGCTGGAAGCAGGGAATACTCGTGCAGAGGGGTGGTTCACCTCATCTAGAAATTCAGAGACATAGTCAGAGAAGTACAGGCTTAACTAGAAGCAATGAGAAATTCAATAGCTTTGCGTTTTGGGGAAGTCTTGTGCTAATCATGGTCCCCTGTGATCCAATGGATGTATCTGGGGTCTAATGGACACTCATCTTGCATGTACAGGATTCAGATATGTGCATGGGACTGCTTTTAAATGTCAGGTATTTGGCAGTCCTGAGTATTCTCTGTGCCTGTAAAAAAGAAAAACAACCCAAACCAATATGTGTGTGTGTGCTTTCAATTTTAAGATATAGGATGTTTAACGAGATCAGAAATAATCAATAAAATGCTCTATTCTGTCTCAGTTTGGGACAAGTGAGATTTATTGCTGCTACATGATTTGAGGGCTAAGGTTCATCAAAGTGTGTAGAGGCTTAGCTTTTATTTTATTTTCCCGTAGCACATGGGCCTTATTTTCTAACATGCACCAACCTTTGGGAAGATGTTCAAAAGCACAGTGCCTGTCTCAGCAGAGCACAGCTATGACTTGTGATTCTAAACTTGCAGATGCCCCTGCCAGTCATCCTAATACCAACATCTCTAATAGAGAGCCCCCAGAATGTCACTGCAAGTAAGGTTGGACTGCTGGAGCAAGTCCAGAGGAGGGCCACGAGGATGATAAGGGGGTTGGAGCACCTCCCGTATGAAGACAGGCTGAGAAAGTTGGGGCTGTTCAGCCTGGAGAAGAGAAGACTGTGTGGAGACCTCAGAGCAGCCTTCCAATATCTGAAGGGGGCCTACAAGGATGCTGGGGAGGGACTCTTCATTAGGGACTCTAGTGGTAGGACAAGGGGTAATGGCTTTAAACTTAAACAAGGAACTGTAGGTTAGATCTAAGGAAGAAGTTCTTCACAGTGAGGGCGGTGAGGCACTGGAATGGGTTGCCCAAGGAAGTTGTGAATGCTCCAACCCTGGCGGTGTTCAAGGCCAGGCTGGACAGAGCCTTGGGGGACATGGTTTAGTGTGTGGTGTCCCTGCTCATGGCAGGGGGGGTGGGACTAGATGATCTGAAGGGCCTTTCCAACCCAAACTATTCTGATTCTATGTTGCTGTAGTGGTGAAACCTGAAGTTGTTCTCTGCTAGTGTAGATGTAGTCTGGCATTTAGAACTAGTTTAGATGGTTGCCAGTAGGAAGTCTGGATACAGCCACCCTGTTTTACAGACTAAAACAGTTAATGAGAATGGCTGTGCACTGTCACATGCCAGTTGGCATCAGCACCAGAGAACTTATTTAACTTATGTGGGCCAGCATAGCTGGAGACACACAGCCAAAGCACACCGAAGCCTAGGACCAAGCCCTGAACACCCAGAGAACTTCGATCTCCAGGGTACTTTTCAGGATCATTAAAAAATTGCACACAAATCCAATTATTTCTCAGGTACTATGCTGGTTTGATTTAGACCCATTAAGTATAATTACTGGGTAGGCTGTAGGAACACATAATTAGACGGAATTGACATGCTATTTAATTGGCCTAACATGAATTCCCTCTAGCTGAAATCTGGATTCACCAATATTATTCAAACAATTCAGTGTTGGTTCATCCCCTTCACTTCAGAGACAGAGAAATGTGTAAGATCGTGTGTTACTGTACACTAGGAAATTTTTGTGTCAGACCTTCTGGAGGGGCTGTATGGTCTAATCCTGGCTGGGGCTGCCCAAATCATGCTGAAGAAATAACTTCACCTCTCTGCAGCCCAGTGATACTATTGCAGCTGATTTTACTGGGGCTGGTTGCTGCTCCAGGCTATTGAAGAACCAGTGATTGATCTGCCTCTGCACATCTGTTTGCCCATGGTGGCTTTCTGGTCTTTTGGTTATTTTTTGGCCTTGCTATTTCAAAAAGTGCCAATGCTCCTGAGCACAATGGAGACATAAATGCTTATCTTTCTTTGCAAAGGGATTACTTAGGATGAGGTGTGTTGTTTGAGTGGTCATTTGCTGGCACTTGCTTTTGTGGCTTCCGCTGTAGTCCCCCTCACAGTGCTTTTCTCTTGTCTCCTCCTCTGCCATTGGCACTCTGTCCTGGATTCACCATCGCCTTCTCAGCTCTGAACAGCCTAAGCTGCAGCCTCCTGTAAGGCTATAATGATATTTCTCTCTTTCCTACTGGGCAGTTGCTACTTTAGCTTATGATTTGAAGGACTCTGGGAGAGATAATTTCCATCCAGTGTTTTTTATTAATGATTATTATTTTTATTTCATTTTAAAATGCTGTGTCAAGCATCTGGATGTGATAATTGGAGGCTGGTGGGTAT